GACCCACCCAGGTGTAACTGTGGGTATGGACTGCACGGCTTTCTGGTCGGCCTTGAACTTCTTCATAGCAGCTAACTCCCCTGGTACCCATTTGTAATAAGAATGATTCTTCCTAACATGAAACAAAAAAGACTGATATAACATCGGATACAAACGTCAAATAACAATATGACAAACGCTAAAAACAACACACACTAAAAGAAGCCTACGTTTGTTTTTTTTTGGTTACTGCAGGAGAGAAAATGATTAGGAACACAGGCTTTTACTGTGGAACCCGAACCATTCAAACAGGAGTTAAAGGCATGCATTAAAAAAACTGGCAGTGATATGAATCTAAACCAACTGTCTTTAGCAATGGGTGACAGAGGGTTTATAGGGGGAACAAGTCGTATGAAGATTTTGAGTGAGCTTGATGGAGTTAGTGATTATAAAACCGGTATGGCGGTTATACGAACTTATTATAAAGAGATGTCGAATTTTTTGGAGACAAAAGGTCCCTCAAGGTAAATTTACTATAACCACGTCTGTCTGTATCTTATTATGTTCAGTTGTAGGTTGTGTTCACAGTAAGTTTAGGCTTAGTCAGTCCTTGTTCTAGTTGAATATATTACCTTTTTTGCCCATCAGGCGCCTTTTCCACGGGTGTTATTTTTCGATCTATTTGTAACGCTGCCATTGCCTTTATCTTGTACTTTTTCCTGGAGATCTCTAGAAAACAAAAGGATATTTAGTAGCTGTTTCTTGGTTCTCGTTTGTCGTTTTAACATATCTATATTATTTATTTGAATACGTAATTTTTCGTCAGTATTTTAATGTGTGAGTTACTGATAATCAAAGACTCAAAACACGGAAAGTTCCATTTAAACCTTAGCACGCCACATCAATGAGAACGTACACTTTGATAACTAAGTCAGAAAGCACATTTAAATAAACGTGATTACCTATATCTTATGCAATGCAAAATTATCCTGACAACAGGTGTCGTCTAATGTGATATTGATACCATGCTAAACTATTTGAGTTCCATGAGCGCAAAATAACGTTAATCAAGACGAATGATGTTTTCATCTATTATGAACACAAAAGCCTTATTTAGATAAAGTATATAAATAAAACGTGTTCTCAACATAATAAGCGCGCTATCTTATTTAGGAGGGCTATTCTAGAATGTTTTCATAAATTATGCAGATGAGGTCCTGAATTTATAATCAGTGTTGTTTGCCTTTACTTCCAAACACCACAAGTAGGGAAGTCCCGTCAGTTACACCCGTGGACTTACAGCGTTTACAGATTAGTTAAACAAATTATACCTCCATTGGAGTAACCAACATTTGCCGATGTTCTTTTAGCTCACAATATACATATGGCGAAATTTTGAACAGTCAGCATTATACAAACTACATCCTGATTCGTATAATTGTTCATTTATTATTTTAAGAAAGACTTAAGTTACATCACATATATGAAAGTACTTTTTTATGTAAAACACTGTTATTACAGAATTTCCTCCATATTTATGCAAATTTGGTCTCTTTTTGAATAATTTGCATTTAATTGTATTCATCATTCTATAAGCTACCTACATATAAAATGTAGAAAATACTTTGTTCCTTTTTGGACTAATCCGCTAAAAACGATTTCGTCAGAAACTACCCTAAGTTCCAGAACACGTTGCTAGAGGGACAAAACCCACACCAATTATTCGTAACAGAAATAGCTACCTTTCACCAAGATTCCAAACCATAGCATGTTCAGGATTACAAAAACCGGAAGTTCTTCTGTAGTTGACATTGTTTTTTTACCTTTCTAAGACCTACCAACATACTAAATATCATAACTCTATAGCCAAGATATGAATGTGTTATTTACCTACAATTAACCTAGTAGTCTAGTAACCCATATTACACTACACCTTATCCCAAATCTATCGGAAATATACGTATCAAGAGCACCAACATTTTACTATGTGTCGATATACAAGATGAAAAAAATCATAATCGTATTAATTACATAATTTCTTATATGCCTACCTGACAAGTGTTTCCTGTGTCAGTGAGTTATAATAAAGACCCACATGATCTTTCATGTTAATCATGGCTATCAAAACCATCATGACCAGCAGGAGCAGGGCGCATTTTTGTTGCCTCATTGTTATCTCTTTACAAGCAAACCTGAAACAAAGACAAATTTAATACTTGAATAAAAGCCCCTCTGTGGTGTTAGAGAGTGCATTATATATATCTGACAAAAGGTTGACGAGATCGACTGGAAATTCATGGTAAGTTCCCTCATGGAACAAAGTTAAACTTAAAAACTGAAAATTCCAATGGTTTGACAGTGTTAAAATCTAGCGGTTTTGTTAATCTGTTTATTTTGTTTATTTAAATTTCCACCAGATGTGTGGAAGGAGAGAGAGAACAGGTGAGTCACCTTTACGAGCTCCCTCCCCAAATTACATCAATAAAAAACCATTGTAAAACACTGAAATCATACACATTGTAAGAGTAAATACATAAAGATACATACAAAAATATGGACATGTAACATGTCAGTCAGCGCGACCTTAATGCTATGCATGTCCCACATCTGCAAGAAGCAGACCATGTACATATTATGTCTGTGTCAAAGTTGTCCTGAAACCTGTAGCTTACTGACAGGACAAGACACCGTTTGAAATGAAAAAGACCTTAATTGGCTAATTGGCGTTTCTAGTTTTTTTCATTCGGTCACTAGTCGGGCGATGTACAACATTGCAAATGTAGATGTTTTGCAACGACTCGAAATCAGCATGTGAGACCTACCACCCCTAGTTAGTCTAGTGGAGGATAATAAATAGCTCTCGTTAATTAACTAGCATAGTATCCTCCAAAAATTTAAATTCTAATCAGTAGTAATAGTTATTCTTAGTAATTTCAACCATATTCAAATTCTCACTATGTGTGCTAATTGATGACGTCATTAATTAAACTTGAACATAGTGAAACTATAATTAAAGTGCGTTCACAGAACATTTTACGTCATGTTGGCTTCCGTGTTGTCATGGGCATTATAAGTCTTAGCAGACCTTTATATTCTGTCATACACCCTTTTTGTTTCATTTTGTGCAGTTTTACAGGAAAAACATCTTTACACGGTTTCAGCAAAATCACCTAAATTGACGTCAAAATGATGTATTATGCACCAAAATTACTCTTATGATTTAATTTTACTTGTACATTATCCCCTGAAAATAAGTAGTTTGTAAGTTACATAGAATTACCCCACCTCCACCTCGTAAAAAAGCAGGGTAATTTGGCTTACAACATGTTCGGTGACAACCCCCCCCCCAAAAAAAAACCTCGAATAAAAGGATTATTAATCTTATAATAAAAATGAGGTACACGTGCCCTAGGTCACGGATAAGGTTTGAAGCACATTATGTCTAAACTGAGAATTCTGTGATGTTTTGAGGGTTTGTCATTGATACCACCATACCAGCTCTTTCAGTTTGAAAACCAGAGCACAGAAGATTATAATATACATTTGTGGTCCTGCAAGAAACTTGTCAATAGGTAGTTAACAATCAAAGACGTTCACCAGGTGACTATGGAGTCAGTAACGAACACTTCACACATGGGATTAACGTCATAACACATTTCCTTACTGTCATTATTACCTTCGTCAGAAGGTTATGTGTTTACGTCCACTATAAATAGGGGTTGTGATTTTGAAATCGGTTTCATGCAAGTTTAATGCTGCGAGTTTTGATCTCCTCCGTAAGTGCAGACAATTCCTGATACAGTTGCTCGTCGGGGAGTTTTCGCTCCCATAAGATGTTCAGACACATACGGAGCATCTTTTGTAGCAGCAATTAATGTGCTTTTCAAGGGATTTAGTCAGCGTAAGAAGAAGAAGTCAGCGTCCAAGCTTCACTACCATACAGCAGTATCGATTCTGTTGTGACAATCAGAAAGTTTAATTTTGGTTTTCCATAACTTGGATTTCAAGATTTTATTTAGCTTATGGCAGATACTCTAGGCGACCGCTTTTCTTATTTCGATTTTTTTCTGAGTTCTGCATGTTGAAACCCAGGTATTTAAAGTTTCTGACTACCTCTACCCTCTTGGTGACCTCCCTTTGTTGATATACTAGGTCACCGCTCCTGTTTTGGATGACGAAGGGACAACTTGTTGTATGCCATAAGCTTGGTTTTCTTCGCGTTAAGATTCAAGCCTACTTTTGCTGACGCAATAGTAGTTCCTGTGCTTGCTTGATTATTCCTGTCAGCAGAGCCATGTCATCTGCGAAGTCCAGATCATCAATTACAACAGCAGGATGACGAGTACTCTTTCTGCTTTCAAGCTCAAAATAGAGTTGTTTTTTTTCTCTTCTCCAAGAGTTTGCCTCATTATGAAGTCTGAGACTGTAACAAAGAGGTAAGACGTTAGTGTGTCACCCTGTAGTACACCCGCTGTAATTTTAAACAATTCAGTTTAACCATCGGTGGACAATACTTTCGCACGTGTGTTCTTGTACAGTATGTTAATTACATTAACCAGTGCCTGTGGAATTCCGTACGCTTTTAAGATGTTCATCATTTCCCCTGAGAGCTATCAAATGCTTTGCTAAAATCAATGAATAATTGCCTGCAGATTCTTACTCAGTACTCCTTTTATTAGTTGTCCAAGAGCAATGATTTGTGAAGTTGTTTAACGACCCGGGCGGAAATCGTTTTGGTGTGGTCTGAGGAGCTTATCTGCCCCAGGTTGTATTCTATTTTGTTGGTTATCTTTGCTCCAACCGAAGCGAGCATAATACCTCTGTAGTTAGTGTATTCAGTTAAGTCACCTGGGTTGGGAACCGGCACAAGGGTTCCAATCGCCAACTGTTAAGGCCTCTCACCTAGGAACAACTTGTTAGCAAATGACAGCATGATGTCATGAAAATAGCACAGTTTTAGAGCCTCGGGAGGGATTCCATCAGGGTAAGCTGCCTTACCCAGTTTTAGTTTGCTCTTGACAGCTATGTATTCCTCCATGGTGAATGGTTTAGCCAAAATGTCAAGTTTGAGAAAGCTCTGAGGGATAGGTTCATCAGGAGAACCCTTAACTACTGGTACTGATCTAAACTACTGGTACTGGAGTATGACAGTAAAAGTTGGGTAGCCCTTACATATGAAGTTTGCTACTAGTATTCTTTCGTTCTAAGGTTTGACCTTAGCTAAAGCATTTTCCGTCTCTTTATCTATAAGTAGACCTTCTCCATCTAAAGAGGCGTTGTTCATAAACCTTCAAGCTGAGGGGGTAATCAATGTAAAATTTGCATAGGTTTGAAATACTACGGGCTCATCTCTATCTTTGTGTACTATTTTGTGGTCTGAAAGGTCTAGTACTGACACAGCAAAATGTGTTACATGAGTTTACTACTTCGTGCCACTTACATTCGTCTTGGATTGTCTTGACATTTACAGTACCCACGTTCGGATAGTTTTTGCAGTTTGTCTCTTCGTTTACTACCCTCGGTTTCCCCATTTCCCGTAGTTGAGACTTTGAAGGAAAAGTGTTATCTCTTCCAGCTGAAAAGCTAGTACCCTCGGAGATAGAAGTGAGATATTAGAAGTATTCTGCTTTTAACACATCGAAGGTTTGGGGCAAAAAGCATATTTATTTGCCCATCACACAAAAAAACATTATTTTACCAACTTTGCTCCATTTGCCCTCTATACGTGAAATCACGTCTATGTTGTATTACGCCGCAGCAGAAACAAAGTTGTCATTTTATCGGAGAAGACTAGTGTCTCCTATAGTCTCTCGTCATGTCATGGTACATGTAGTGCAGGCATTGTATTGGATATGCCCATGCTTACCTTCTTAGTTTTTCTTGCTATTGTTCTTGTTTTTGTAAACATTTGAACGTTCACACTGTTGAGATAGCCATGCCCCGGGCCTTCGACACCATCATTAAGTCTGAGATCCTAGATATGTTGGCCAGAGGAAGGAAGTTAGGACGATGAATTACGTCCCATAAGACACCTGCTGAGAGGTACTGGGCTGGAAGTCCGTGTTGGATCAGTCTACTCGGCAGCAATATGGTCCTGCCAGGTGACACTCTCTCTCGGCTCTGTTGCCTAGCATTTGAATGATGGACAATATCTCAGCCATCTTCATGTTGTTGTCTGACTATGTCGACTTTAGTGAAAAAAGAAAGAAGACACGTTAGTTACACAACCACATATTTCCGCCAAAAATTGGAAAAAAACACTGATTCATAAAGGAAGTAAATTGATTGATTTTTATTTAGCTAAACAGACCAACAAA